CAGGTCTGTTGCAGAGATTCGCCGCGTTGGGGCCCGCTCGCCGGCGGCCCTGTTTTCGGCTCCGCCGGACGCGTGTACTCTGGACGAGGTCAATAGGGCCATAGCAATGTTGAAGCCGCACAAGTGCGCACGAACGCGGCAATGCTGGCTGAAGTTCCTGCAGGCCGCCGTCTCACACGGGCGCTGGTCAACCTGAGTCGGGCTTCGTGCGTGACCGCCCGCCTCTGGTCCCTGCGCCAGTTCTCGCCGATTCACAATCAGGCCCGCTCCTTGTCCGCGACACCTCGTGCCTCCGTCCCATTTCGCATGCTTGCGAAATGGCGTCTGTCCAGGACGCTCTCTGGAACCTCCGCAACGCAGCTGCGCTGGAGGCGTATGCGGGCCCATCCCAGCAGGGGGGGTCGGCGACCCCTTTTTTTCGTTTTTGCACTAGTGGTCCATGCCCAAGTGAGAAATGCGCAGGATCTCCCAACGTGGTGGGCCCCTGGCGGACGACAAGTGGGCCTTTCACGTGGCGCCATTCGACGCCATGCTCTTGGGCGGGCGTTTCAAGCGGGAGCTCAGGAGCCCGACTGGCTGCTGCTTGACGATGTTCTTGCGCAGGACCACCAGCGAGTGTGTCTCCATGGGTTGTTGAGCCCTGTCTTCGTCCTCGGTTGCGGCACTGCCCAGGGCCGCCGCCTCTCGATCCCCGTTTTCACTTCCAGTAGCGATGGCTTGCCGACGAAGTGGCGCCTGTCCTGTCAAGAGGCTGCGCCACTGTCATACCTTCGTTCGCTCGCAACGCCTTCCACGAGGCGTTGGCGGCGTCTCCGCCAGCGGCTGTCCACCTCCCCCCGCGGGGGGATCTCCCGGTGGCGGCCCTCGCGCGGGAGGCGGCGCGTATAGCGGGGGCTGCGCGTGCGCCGCACCCGCCTGCGCGCCGGTTCGTGTGCGCAGCCCTCCGGGAGCTGCCGTCGTTGGCGCACCGAGTGGCGGTGGTGGAGCTTTTAGGATCGGAGTTTTTGCCGCCCCCTCAGTTCGTCGATGACCTCACGGCCCCGTGCCCTTCGGAGGGTGCGGTCCGCGGCGTCTTGGGCGACCAGCCGTCCGCGGCCTGCAATCGGTACGCCCGCCGGGTCAAGGCGTGCATAAATTACGCCCCCGGTCGGTCGTGCGTGTTGCCGTTGCTGCGCGCCCCGGCCCCGGTCGGCGCCCTCTGCCCGGTGGTTGGTCCCAGGAGGCTCCCCGGCGCTTTGGCAGATGCGGGTCTCACATTGCGTGAGTGCATTGCCCGCGGCCACAGCCTTTTGGATAAACTCCTCGCAGCGGCCCTGGCTGGAGGTCCCTCGATCCCTGCGACCGCTGCCCAGGTCCACCCGCGGGTGGAGTCCGCGATCCTTTACCCGCGCCCTCTTTTGGCATGGGCCCCCAGGGCCGAGGCGGCCTCAAATAGGCTGCCGGGGGTCTGGACGATGAAGCTGCTCGGATACCACCAGGGCCCGCCACTGCGCCACAGCATTTTGGTGGCGCAGTGCAGCTGGCCTCTGCGCCTGGGCACGAGGTTCGTGGAGGGGGCGCTCATGGCCCTCGCCCGTTGCCATGTGCTCCCAGAGGGCCACCTGGCGTCCATCGTGGGCGCAGCGGCCCCGGCCCTTCTGGTAAGGTCCTGGATCACGGACGCCGCGGCGCTGGCCCACGTGCCCCCCCCCCCCCCCTTCGCTGCCTGTCACCGAGCACCCTGCTTTTGCAAGGGACCCGCTGGGCGCGGCGACGCGCTGCCCCGAGGCCAGGCGCGCTCTCTTGCAGGCGTCTTCACTGGCAGGTTGTGCAGCCAGCGATGCTAAGAATATGACCTTCCAGGAGGCGGCTGCACCCGTGCTCGCGCCGCTGGGCGTCTTCTTTGCCTCCCTGTGCTCCCCCCCCCTCTTGGCCGTTGCTGGACCTGCTCCAGGTCGAGCGTGGCCCTGCGCTCTCGTCTGACCTCCGCGCCTGGGCGCTCATGCGGATGAGTGGCGCGTGGCCCTGGCCAGTCTTCGGCGGAGCGTCGCTTCCCTGTGTGCGGGGCATTCCAAGTTTCAGTCCGGCACGTGCTGGCACAATGCCCTGGGACAGCGCCGGCGTATTCGGCCCAGAGGAGATCGGCGCCTGCGCTTCCTCGCGAGGCGCCCGACTGGCTGCTCCACTGCCTTTTTGCCGAGGGTACCGCGGTGGCTGACCGCGCAGCGCACCTGGCTCACGCAGGGGGCGTGGTCCGCCCTGCCTGCGTGCGCGTCATCCTCGAGGCGGGCCTCTCCCAGGCGCCTGCAAGGGGAATGCGTGGAGGAGGGCTGGGCGCTGCGTGGCTGTCCTTTTTGGCTCCGCGCCGCCAGGCACACTTTGCGCGCCCCGCCCAGCGAGCGCCGGCTGCGTCGCCTGCGCCCCGGCGACATCGGGCAGGGGGGCGGGGGGGCGCTGGCGGTCCGCAGCCACCGGCTGCCCGCGTTGCCGCGCGTTCAAGCAATGGAGGTCGCCAGTGGCGAGGCGGCCGCCGCTGCCTCGTTCTTTGCTCGCTTGCTTTGTGCCGCGGCGGGGGGCAGACAGGAGCGTGAGAGACCGCTTCCTGTGCTGCGCCAGCCGCACGCTCCGGGGCGCCACTGGGTGTGAAACTGGAAAAAAAGAACCGCCGCTCGACAAGGTCTGAATTGCAAACCACTGGGCCCGCGCAGACGAGACGTCAGGCAACAGGCGGACTACCAGAAGTAGTGGGGGCCTCAAGAAAATCCAGGCAGCGGCCCACGAGGTGGAGCGATCGCCCAGCCAACAGTACGGGCACCCTGCTGGCAGCGCCGCCCCCTGAGGGAAACGCGCCCCGGGGGTGATGCAAACACTGGTATTATCATCGTGCAGAAGCTGCGCCATTGCCTGCAGGCGCCAGTCTACGAGCGCGTCGGTGCCGAGGGCGAGCAAGCCACACCAGTCCGGGTTTAAAACGGCCCTGCGCAAAGGGCTGCAGCGCCACCGGCAGCCAGCGCAGGACCCGCGACCAGCGACATCACGGGCAGCGAGCGGGCCCACACGAGCAGGACGCAATGGAGGGCGACTCTTCCGGCAAGGAAAGCTCGCAGCTGCCGGCCCCAGAGCGATCAGAGGCCCAGCCTCGCAGTCCCCCTGTGCGGGGAGCTGCGGCGGCTACTGGGGAGCACCAGCCTGTCAGGCGAGCACGCCACGGAACACGTCCATCCGTCCACCAAGTCGCGCAGCGGTTTCAGCTTCTGGCGGGGCTCGGCTTCTGGCGGGGCTGTGTCTGGCGAGGCTCGGGGGCCCTGGCAAGAGCTGTCGGGGGAGGCAGGGCCCGGCCGGCGAGGGCCAAACCACGGGAAAAAAAACGCCCCCCCTCCTTGCAAAGAGAGAGTCGGGTACCCCAAAACCGAAGCCAATTTTTGACCACCGCAAGGGCGCCCGTGGTAGACACGGCCAGGACAGCTGATCCAGTGTATTCTTCGCCTCCTGGACCTAGACACCGTGGCACAGGCATCGCTACGTTGCGAGCGCCATCCCCAGCTGCACGTCCACAGAGCGACACGGCACAGCCACAGCGCAGACGGCACGGAGGCTAATGGCGCGCGGCGCTGGGGGGGGCGGCCACGAGCGCAGGGGGGAGAAGACACCGCGGAGCGGACTGATTGGCATCGTGAGTAAGGGGATGCGCCCGGGTGCCGCTAGGAAGGGGAGGGGCGGGGACAAGCCTAAGGACCAGCACCCATCGAACGGCGACGCGCCCCGGCCCATGCCTAGAACGCCCCTCCATGCAGGAGGCGGAAGCGAGACGCGCCTGAAAGAGAGGCCCCTCCTGCCACTATACCTCCGCAGCTTTCTAACTCCACACCGCACGTTGCAACAAATGGTGTTTGTAGAAACTCCGCGCTCGGACCGCCACGCTGCTTTGAGTGCCCGCCGCGGTGGGCAAGCGGCTGAGCAAGAGAAGTGCAGGACAAGCGGAAGAGGGCGCCCGCCACCGTGGGAGCGAGCCCGCGCCTGCCGGGAAGCTAGCGCTGGCACGGAGGCGCCACTGGCGCAGTGGGGCGGAGGGCGCGCCCTGCCCCCGAGCCGGCAAGGGCACCATGCCAGTTGCCATCGCCCGATGGGGGCCGGGGGAGCAACTCGCGCGCACTCGGGCGCTGCACTGGCGCCGTGAGAAGCCCCTGTGACGAGGCCTTCGGCTCGGAGCCCCTCTACTCAGACGAGGCCAATGAAAAACAAGAGCTCCTCAACAGACTCCAAATGAACAGGCGAAACGGCGCACAGAACACTTCTACTATGTTTGAAAATCTGCCGCTGTGTGGATCAGACCTCTCTAGGTGAGTTCGACAACGTGAACTGTGAGCAAGGTTGCGGGGGGAACCCCGGGACCCAAGAGCGACAGGGAGCACTGCGGTCACCTGTTTCCCCTCTTCCCCGCGGCGCAGGCGGGCCAAGATCACCACCCCCATCGCCAACACGTCGTCGTGGAGGTGACCCCCAAACAGCAGAGAGACGCGAAATAGACAGTGATTCTCGCGCGGCCGCCCCCCGGTTTTGGCCTGAAAAACTCGCGCAGTTGGCACAGCCAGAGACAGCCTTGAGGAGGTCAGCATCGCCCCCGAGGGCGGCAAACCGGCGCGGGCCAGGGGCCGCCACGGCCTAGCCAGCGGGGCCAAGCAACGAAACGCACTGCGGGGCTCGGAGAAAGGCAAGCCCAAGGGAGCGAGGGAGCTGTACTAGACAGGTGTGGCCCGTGTTGGGGCGCAGCCAGGAGACATCGAGAGCAGCAGCGACAAAGCTTGCAGAAGCGCGCGCGGGGGCGGCGCGACCGGCGCGGACTGGAATGGCGGCAGGGGCACACACAGACGCCCTGCACTACTGTAGCCACAGCCGCGTTTGCGCCGACGCGTCCTCCTCGCACGCACGGACGCGCTCCTGCAGCCAGGCGGCGCACGCCACGTTCTGGGCAAGCTCAAAAGGAGGGCCTCGACGCGCATCGCCAGAGGCACATTGTAACCTCACTCTCCCGCTCCCTGCGGCGGCGACCCGCCCTTCCCAACCTGCGCAGGCAGCCTGGTGCTGCTCAGCTCTGGCCGCAGGGCTGCCAACCCACAAGCGTGGTCCTGCAGGGCGCTCCGACGCGCTGCGAACAGTAACTAAGCTGCGGTGGCTTGGCCAAGGGGAAAGTCAGCCCACCAGACGCGCCCGCCACGGCTGTAGCGAGCGCCTTGGCGGCAGTCAGCGCCGCCTGTGCCGCTGCTGGGTGGTCCCATCGGCTCCCGTTTCTGCCTTATGTCTGCAGCACAGCCGGCTGCTGAGACCATCCCGACCTAGTTTTTCAAGCAACCAAAACTACCTGTGGGTTGTCGCGACGCACCTGTCAAGAAACAAAACACAAGAAACAAAACACCAGCTGGTTGCGGGTGGTCGCGACCTACCTGACAAGATACAACACAAAATCAACGTCTTTCTTAAAACAGGGACTTGCTTGTCATTGTCGTCGACGCTGCGACAAGGTGTCGCGGGAATGGGGCGTAAGGACCCTCGCTTGGGTAAACTTGCGCAAGTGAGCGCCCCGCCTATCCAGAAAATACCACAGGCAACGCCTGTGCTCGACAACATGGTTTTAGTATCGCCGGCGCTGCGAAACATGAGGCAGGAATGAGACGCAGCGCTCATCACGCGCGGACGCCTGGGCAGCCCTGCACGGCACCCCCCTCCCCTTCCCAACCTGCCAAGAAACACCGCCACGTCGACGTTTCACTTGCCAACATGAACTTGTTCCTCGTCGGCGCAGCGAACTGCGTAGCGGGAGGGGGGCGCCTCGCAAATTCCCAAGCGGCCTTATCCTCCTCCTCCTCCTCCTCCTCCTCCTCCTCCTC